TCACTATTATTATCACTCTTATTATTATTATTATTATTATTATTATTATTATTATTATTATTATTATTATTATTATTATTATTATTATTATTATTATTATTATTATTATTATTATTATTGTCATTATTATTATTATTATTATTGGCAACAAAAAAATTCCATGTGCATCGATATTTATGATATATGCCAAACAAAAAATTAAAAAAAACCGATTTATAACCTCGCTCTGATACCATTGTTAGTCCAATAATTAAAATCAATCAATAAATAAATAACGACTATAAATAACTTACTTGAGAGGTTAATCCCAATTTTCTATCATTCTCTATCCTATATTACTTGAGAGGTTAATCCCTTTTTATAGATAACCATCTTTTGTAAGTCTCATATCCATGGTCTAAAGGAGTTGAGATCCAAGTATAACTCTTGTCTTAATTCTCTTAAGTTTGTCTCCAACGGTTAATCCTATATAATGAACTAAACCTATCATTAGTGCACTTATGACTCACGTAATAAAATGTCATCCAAGCATTCTTACAATTTGATCAAAGGTATTTAGAAATTAATTAATTTTGTGCATCTACAATAAAAAAAAAAATTCTTACAAAGAATCCAAACACATCACTAGGTTTTCCCTCCATGACACTGTGTTTTCCTTCCAGTGCAACATCCTATAAAAGCTCCAAAATGAATCCTAGTGTATGGCATTGCCTCATGTCAACCACATGGGATTTCACATATACTATACATTATGTCTTTTGTACCATTATTGAAAAATAAATTCTCGGGATAAAAGGACTTGATAGGCCACATATTTCCAACAATAAGAGAACAAATTTTTGTTTTCTTTTTGTTGGTTGAGGTGCCAATAGATGCATGCATGTTGAGATCTCAGGAGCAAAATGACAGAGGATTAGGGTTGACGAATAATTTATGTACAGACAAAAAAAGGGCAAATACAAAATGGGTGAATTTGGGGCAAAAATTATGCGGAAAGTAAGTCAACCCTTTTTTTTTTTTTCAAAATTATCTCTCGGTTCAAGGATGCCATCCTTATACCGCTTTTTAACTTTTTTTTCATTAGTAGGGCAATGCCCTAGTGTGAGTGGTAGTACCTAGTCCTGAAGGCAGTACGAGGTGGCATCGCTGAACAACTTTATTTCTTAGCAAACAAAAGAGCTAATGTGGTCTAATGATGGCAACCTTAGACTACCTTAAAGAGCACTACAGGAGACTGTTTGAGAATGGGCATCTTGGACCGCCTTTTAATACTTAACGAAGTCAGTCTTTGCGTTATGAGGATGTCAACTTTGGACCACTTTGAAGAGCACAACATAAGGCGATCCAATGATGCGAACATCAGATCGACTAGGCATTGCCCAAACATTAGGTCACAACCATACTATCTCAAAATCTAAAAAAAATCATAAATTAAAATGCGGTCGGAGGACCGAGAGGTAATTTTGAAAAAACAAAAAAAAACATCAAGTTGGCAGGCCCTCTGCATAATTTTATTCCGACTCATTTTGTATTTTAGTTTTTTTTTTATATATATCCGTGTGTAATTCACTCTTTTGTTGTTGGTAGTTTGTTGGTCCTAGGGGCGAAACTGCAGGGGATTGGACAAATTAAGCCAAAAGTTATGCAATACTTGGGTGAGTATGAAGTAAGAACAATATTTGCTTGTGTACGGCTCACCTTTCCATGTAAGTAAGCGAAAAATATGGGTACACGTCTCGGCCACGAGTAACTCAGTCGAGTCGGAGTTAGAGTCCAGGTTCAAGGCATTAAAGATTAAATTTTTTCACTAAAGAAAATCAACCGATAATTTGAGTCACTATTCTAGAACTCGGCTGAGGTCACTTGGAATCAGCTGAGTAATTCGGCCTCACCCTATAGGTGACGCAAGTTTTTGTCGAATAAAGTGTACGTCAAATTTTTTCTAGTTTATGTAAATTACTGTATATTTCAAGCCAAAAGATGCAAGGAGGCTTTTTGCATTGTGCTCACACGTGTTGCGCCACAACGCCAGTCAACAATTAAAGTTAAATGGAGGTGGACTATTTACATATCTATTCTAACTTTCTTCCTTTCTTTTTTAAATAGGACTGAATTTGGGCGAGTTACTCGAATTCGTTAAAAAAAATTGTCAGATCAAAACTGTAAGTACCTTGGTCGAGTCGTGTTTCAAAACACTGATTTAAATTTACGTCAACATATAGGACTACATATGTCAAAATTTTATACATGTATCGTATTGGACTCAAGCCTCTACACACCCTAAAAGACTTTTGGGGTACCTCAACTTGGCCCAACACTAGTTCTATTCAACATACAACATAAACATTACATAATATAAAATGTAAAATCAGCTCAGAAACAATAGGCTATTAAGCTAAACAAATTACATGCACTTGAACACAATAATATGCCAATCGCCTCATACATGAACAACACCAAATTGCATTTGCAGAGTCCCTGAACACTCTTCTTAATTTACAAATAGGAAGCCATTGCAATCTCCACTTTGTCATAAACTTAAATCTCTTCTAACTACTGCAAAACTCCATTGGAGCACACTTCCGTGCACGAGAATACACATAAAACATATACTTGTCCTCCAACTTTTAGAGTCAAGCACCCAAAGATAGAAAACAAAAGTTGGGGAATTTAAACCAGGAACACCAAGGCATCTTATGCCCTACAAGATAGACTTTAGAGGTTCTTTATCTAACGAACCTGCAATCTAGCCTTACTTCCTGACCTCCATTTAGGCTACTCATCTTGATCATGGAATTAATGAAGGCATCCTCAAAGGCCTTCTTTGAGCTTGCGAACTTGGCCACCAGAGCCTTGGTTTGAGGGCTCGAAAGCAAGGATTGATCAGAAGAGAAGAGGCTCTTCCCTTGAACTAAAAGCTTATAATACGAGTTGTCGAAAGCCGTAGAAGTTGAGTCCATGGTTGAACCTGCACCCTTAACCTTGTTGTGAGCTGGACAGATGTTCTTCAACTTCGACGCAAAGCTCGGGTTCAGTGATGGGTCCACATCGTGGCTGGCATCGAAATTGTGAATTCTGTTCTCGAAAGAGGAGCAATGAGAGAACCCCAATGTGTGCCCACCTATCCAAATTCACAAATATTTGCATTAGGGAAAATGCATCTCCAAATTATGCATAATAAGCAGCAATTGTTGTCTCTTTTTTCATTTATTCTTTTTCTTACAGACCAGAGAGAGCTACGAGGTCTTGCTGTGAGAGTCCTCTTTGTGAGAAGCTTTGTATGAGCTGAGAGAGGTTAAATGTGGGGGCTGGCAGTGATCTGGTCTCTGTGGCCTTGAAAACCCTTCCATCTTTCCTGCCCTTTGGTACGTTCCAGCTAGGTCCTCCTGACTGCAAAGATATGAGGGTTCCTCTTATATTTTATTCCCAAACTGACGCCCATATTAAGAGATATGCTAAAATGATTTAACATAAATGTGTTTGTGAAAGTTTTGACTCTGAGACCTGTTTAGAATGTTTTATTTTTATATTTATTTATTAATACTATTTTTTCATTGAACAGCTCCATAGAAGAAAAACCAAAGACTAACAAGAGCTAAGTTGATGATTTACTGATTTACTCCAGAGATATCAATATGCAACTCTTCATTAATTATAAAAACAAGAATTTTGTTCCTTTTTTAAGAAAGTATCATTTAATGGTTCAAAATACCTTACAAAATTATGAAGGGCATTAAATAACAAGAAAGAGCTTCAATAACTTTGAAAGTATTCATTTTGTAGGTGCCTCCTAGATTGGCCAAATTATTGAAATTACTCATATTTGTTAAGAGTTCCCAATCCTGAATAGGGGTAATTTGGGTATTTTAATATATATTTTAAGGAGGCACATGAGTGAAAAAATAAAATGTGAACCGTCTAATATTGATTGGGGATCGTTGGACCCCTCAATAACCCCTTAATAATGTTGCGAGGGTATATTTATCATTTATTTATTTTTTATTTTATTTTTACTTATAAAGAGGCTGGTGTTTCGAGGTACATAAATGGGTTAATAAAACAGTATCAAACATGTGCATCAAGCAATTCCTAGAATGCTGCCCCAAATGCCCGAAACACGCATCCATAAGAGGGTTTATTTTGTTTGGAGCATAGAGGACTTTTTATTCTCTAGAAAGGCCGGCAAGGGGCCAAATGCTACCCTATCAGAGTCTGCCCGCCTAAACCGACCCAAACGGCCCTGCCCTGGTCCGAGCCTGACCTAATAAATTAAAAAGAATATCCTATGGTTAAAAGTTAATTGTGACCTTTATGTACTAAAGGTAAATGGTCTCTTTATATATACACTAATGAAAGGTTACATTGGCCTAGCCCGACGGACTCAACTTGACCTGGTCGGTCTCAAAAATAACCTTTTTAGTTTCCAATGATAACCTTTTTAGTTTCCAATCCTAGTGGAGAGAGAATATTACGAGCGTGACAGCATCTCTTGCAGCAAGAGCGAGGATATCAGCACAAGAGACGACGCCAGGGCAAATAGCTTCCACTGCCTTCTTGGCGTTGTGAATGACATAGAATCCATGCAGTGAAACATTTGGTGGACCGTCTTTCTCCGCTGTGTTACCCTTTCCCGATTCCAACAAAACCGACCCATCACAACCCTGCAAAACGAAGACCCATATCACGCTGCTTGCTTTCGTGGAAGAGGGCTAAATAGCTGGTTCGATATTATTACAGGAAAAAATAAATTTTGGAATATTGTCAATAATGGTTTAGATAGGGCTAATCTACAAACAATTTAAAAGTTAGGACAATGACTTATACCCCCTCTCTCTGAAATCATAATCCCAATTAACCCTTTTAGTCTATAAAAAACCCATATACCTCCTCAAGTTAAAAGAAAAGAGAGGGGAATATACATATCTTGACAGGCTATTTTGAAAATCGGAAATCTAAACATGTATTACAAGATACATTACTTTTAAGAGTTAAAGTCATTTTTATCCGATATCCATGTTTCTCTACACTGAGATGATCAATTGTAGAGTTTTTCTATATCCGAAAGACCTTTTGAGTGGATTTTTGAGGCGCAACTTCCTTTTACATTATAAGGTGGGCACCTTATATAAATTTTTCCCTTGATAATAATATAGGAAAATAACAAAGACAATATCTCTTTGTATAAAAAATTTAGTAACTAATAGCTAGATTTGAAAAGAAACACTTGGGAGTGTGCTGAATCACTGTAGTCAAAAGTTATTTTATTTTTTCCATGAACTTGCAGCATATCTTTAGCCATCTGATTTCAAATCTAATAATTAATAATTAAGAATGATTGTAACTTTTTTATAATATGTTGATGGTAAACAATCTTATCCTAGACCCACCCTATCCTAACATAATGTAAGGAAGTGAATTGATGCAGGCGAAAAGCAATAGGCCAATTTTGGAATAGTAGAAAGATTACACAGGACCAACTCTCAATAAAAAGAATAAAAGGGGGAGGATAGAAGGATAAGCAAACGAACCCTGATAAAGCAATCATGGAAATGCATCCTCAGGAGAGCTGCCGGGACCGTCTTGTCATTGAGCACAGCCTTCTTGACGGCATCAGTCACAGCTGATTCCGCATTAGGGCATGTCCTATCATAGTAATTTACACTCAGGCTATTAACTAGTGAGGCAACAGAGGAGAGCATTAGGAGGTTAACAATCACAATTAGAGCCATCTCTCTCTCTCTGTTTTAATGACAATAAGGTTTGTATGGGGAAGAAAACTGAGGTTTGGTATTTATAGGAGAGGGTAAAGGTGGTTTAGAGACATGGAGTTGATAGATGAGAAAGCAGATGGTGGATGATCGTGTTTAGATGCATGTGAAGTTTGGTGAGATGAAGCATCTTCATAATGGAGTAGTGACTTTGAAGCATCCATTATTAGGCTATGAGATTGCTTTTGGTAAGAGATTTAACTGAAACATTATACACAACAGAAGAAACAATTGATAAGATTCCTCTATCACAATATGTTAAGACCTAAGTCGTTCAAATGTTTCACCTATGATGTAGACAACCATAACCGAATTTCGAAACGAAAGCAACCCCACTTTCTGCAAAAAATAGAAGGCCAACAAATCTCTCTCTCTCTTATTTGCCCTAAGTGGTGTTATAGGTAGGACTTTATGTCAATAATGAAACCCACTTTCTATAATTACTTAATTGGGTTCATGGGAAAAACCTTCTCCATTCATTGTGTTTCTATAGTGAACTAATCACCTAAGATTTCTTTTCCTAGGTTAGTAAGCTACGTTGTACCATATTTTGATAAAGGAAATGTCTTTGTAAATGTCGGAGCAAGTGACACATCTTTACAAATAACATAAGATTTTTTTTCCTAGGTTAGTAAGCTACGTTGTACCATATTTTGATAAAGGAAATGTCTTTGTAAATGTCGAAGCAAGTGACACATCTTTGCAAATAATAAAGGTCGAGGAAAAAATATGGGCATGAGACATCTTAAGTTAATGAGCTACGTTTGTTTTGTTTTTTTTTTGTTTTTTGAGGATATTTACAAGAGGTTTCGAAGATTTTCAATTTTGCATTGCCGTCCTTTACCCTTCTATTTTCCCAAACGCTTTTCGGTTTGGCAATCTCAGTTCGGAACTGTGTTGAAACTAGTTTTTTCCAAGAAATACTCTTCGTTAATGAGAGTACTAAATAAACAGGACGAAAATATCTTGGCACTCTGAGTACCGAATATAAAATTTAAAAGAGTAAATTTAAAAGGGGGAATTTTGGGAAAATTAAATAGATGAATAAAAGGACATTAATGTAGAACTCAAAATTTTAGGGAAATTTTTTAGATTTCATTAAACAAAAAGTTATATAAGTTAATTTCACAAAAATGAAATCACTTAATTCCAATTTCTTAGTTATAACTGTGGCATGGAATCTAGACAAAGACATGATGTGAAATATTGATGGAAATGAAAATGGCATCTAACCTAGCACAACGTTCGTATAAACATTACAGTTCACGTGGTTTCTTATGATTTGAACTTTCACATCAACTTTAAAATAGTATCCTCACTATAGAAAATTAGAACGAACCATTAGGGGTGGGCATTTACTCGGCTTGGATCCGAGACCTGATATTCAGACCCATCCGGATCTGGATATGGATCCAAGATTTGAATCCGATGAGTCGGGTCCAGATTCAAAATTTGGAGCCGAATAGTAATTCGAATCGGATCTAGGTACAGGTGGATCTAATTCGGATCGGACCCAGTTATTAAAATATTATATATTATTTTACAGAATATACATATATATTAGGAAAAAGTTTAAGTAAAGTCGCAACCTTAAAATGTAGAATCACAAGTGCACCTCAAAAATCCATCGGAAAAGGTTGTTTTATTGTTGAAAAACCCTTTAATCATCTCGACATCAAGATATATGAATATGAAAAAAAAAAAATTTGAGTCCCAAAATAGTGCATTTTGCAACACATTATCTAAACCGTTCATTTTCAAGATTTTCATATGTTTATAGATCTACTTGATTTTAACTATTTTTGGAGTTTCGAATTTTATAATTAGATATAAAAATAGATTTTAAGAAAATATGAAGAAATTTTTAAAGCAAAATTACATGTTATGATGAAATTTGGAGGTGCGCGTTAATTGGATTGTATAAAGTTGCAACCTTATAGAAAACACACCCTATATATTATATAGTATTTATTATTATATATTATTTTATAAAAATACATTAATAATAAAATAATTTTTTTGAATCCAATTGGGTCTGGATCTGAATCCAAATCCAGATCCAAATATTTTGGATCTGATCAGGGCCAGATATTGATCTAGATCCCATAAATACTTTTCATATTTGAATCTGGATCCTGGTGGATCCGATCCATTCTCAACCCTACGAACCATAACTTACCGATAAGAAAACAAAAGAACGAAAGAAAAGTCCATTATAGTACCTGTTAATGCAATATTTGGATATGAACTGCTCCATCAATAGTGACTGGTTGGGGAGATATCAATAGGAATTATGGCATATCAGACAAATTCCGCACCATTTCTAATAATATTTACTTGGATAACAAATCACCATATTTACCTGGTCAGCCTCTATTGAGGTCAGCCTCTATTGAATAAAGTTTTTCTTTTCGTGTCTATCGCCTTTATCATGAAATTTTCACAAACACTTTTATTTTATTTTATTTTTATTTTAAGCATTCACTACCTCTTTCATTATATAATACTGGAATGTATAATGAGACGGTATAACCAACAAAAAAGAATGCCTACTGCCAAACCAAAAGACCAATCTGGATTACTCAACTCCAAGGGTATCCTAGGCCTTGAGATACCCCGAGAAAAGGTTCCCTTAAGAAAAAAGGTTGTCGGCAAAAATCAGCACTGTACAATAAGGCAAAAAGAACAAGAACAAACTGAAGAATAATCTCCACCTAACTAAAGGGTGGCACATTTGGCCAATTTATCTGCTTCTTCATTGCTTTCCCTTGAAACATGTTGGAAAATATCTTCTATGCTGTGCAAGTCCATTTGGATCTTATCCATTAAAGCTCTGCATCTCCACAGAGTCATGGGAGGGTGTTTTGGCACCACCGTGTGACATTAATCGTGTCTTCCTCTATTACGAATATGGTGCTCATGCAGCAATCTCAAGAATCCTTCTTTTAGTGATGGCAACTCAGCTTTATTAGCCGTGCACATTGAAAGTCTTCCATTATAGTTCCAAATGGACTTGCACATTGAAAGTATTACTAGTGTTATCACAATAAGCCCCCAAAACCAGTGGCTAATGTTGTCTCTTTAAAACTCCCATCAAAATTTAGTTTTAACTAACCCTCTTATGGTGGTTTCCAAGCATTGTGTCTATTGAGTCTCTTTCTTTTTAGATTAGCCAATAAGTGAAACTTGGTACCAAGGTCTGCTCTGGTAATACCAACAAAGTGACTCGTGGATTACATTCAATGGTACAGATGATTCAAAACGGAAATTTTCATTTGAAATAGATGTCTCGTGCCAAATATTCCAAAGAGTAGCAGCCATTAATGATCTCCACATCCTGATGCCCTTTTTGGTTAACAATGGCGAGGACTATTGTGCAATTAAATGGCCTACAATTTGGGGGGCCACCTAAGAGAGATGGAAGATGGAAAAAATCCAACTCCACAATAGAGGCAAAAGAACAGTGTATAAAAAAATGGGCGTTCATCTCCTCATCCATTTTGCACATAATACATATATTGGTAATAAAGACCATGCTTTTCCTGAGTTGTTTGATTGATGAACATCTATCTCTATCTGCAAGCTACAAAAAGGCGTCAACTCTGGGATTAAGCATATATGACGGCCCATATCTAAGTGAGAAGAGAGTGACTTGACTGTAAATTGCCCCATAGGTGAAGCTTCCAAATGATCACATCTCTTCTTATAGGGAAGTAAATTAAGGAGTACAGTTGCTGCATTAATTTAAAATATTGTGTCGCCACATATGATCAACCCTTTGGCAGTTTAGAACAATGTTCCATGTAACATTCCTTACCTCTCCATAGACAAGATCGCTAACTTTTTTTCTCTTGCATGTAGCATTTTGGTACAACTCTTGAAAATGTGTTTTCAATAGTACTTCCTAAAGCCATTTAACACTCCAGAAGGGTGTCTTAGTTCCATACCTTACTTGAACTATGCTTTTTGAAAGGAAGATTATAGACACCTCGATCCCGACTGAGAAAACTCCAGGAAACTGAAGAATCTTGGAACAACCAAGAGTACCAAAACCAGTGCCCTAACACCCACATCACCTTGTTTGGTGAACCACAAAGATTTGTCCCTGAACCCGAAACTTAGGAAGGCCCCTAATAAGTTAGGAATGGCCCTAAGAGAAGAGGAGATCTAGAAAAGACTGCATGCAATCAAGGGAAAACTATTTTGTGTTCAACGACTCTAATAGTATTTGCTATGCCAGGGCTGGCCTCGATGGATGTCGGCACGACACTGGTGACACTAGCATCAACGACATGGATAGTCACAAACCAAGGGCGGTGGCCCAAGTCAGCAAATTAACACCTCAGAATGCAGATGTGGAAAGTCATCATTTTCTTAACGTTGGGGTCAATAGCGTTGACGCTGGTATCATTAAGTTCAATATCTGATTGGCTCAAATTGCCACTAATTGCTAGACTTTGGAGTGTGCAAACTGAACTATAAAGTAAGCATCATTTCACCCACGTCAGTGTCACCATCATCTAATGAGGCCATTATTGATTGGCCGAAATCGTTGCCCACCATCATCTATAAACACCTGCGTTCTAGCTAAATTGGAACCAACAGACGCCGGTAGTGACTCCAATGCTATCAATGGTGTCGTCAACCATCTAACAAGCCACTGCCCACGATCACGTCAACTATAACCGAGGGGTTGCATCCTACATAACTTATAATCATGACATATTAATGATACTATCACCATCTGCTTTTTCAGCAAAACAATAATGATAGTAGCGTTAACAAGGCCATCAGTGGCCGTTTGCATCCAACGGTTCAGATTTGATCTCAGATTCTAGATGGTGATTAAGGAGGATAAATATCTATAAATAGGGGTTGAACACCCTCATTTTAAGGACCAGATTGTTAACTATCTAGTCAAACTCTGTTAGAACTGAGCCAGACCCTATCCAACTATACTCTAACCTTGAGCCTACCTAACCCAAGGTACTCGAGCCT